AAAAATAATAATAATAAGCAGGAGGAAAAAAAAATGCACATTTGATGACTGAAGAGAGGTTTATGGACACAACTGGGGACTACTTTATAGTATGTGCATTCTACTCCCTGGGGTTTATGCCTAGGATCAGATTTGGATACATGTGTAAGGATATGTCAGCTGTGCTAGCTAGTGGATATATTTAGACAAATTGAGTTCATTGGTAGAACAATTGAATGGGGGGGGCAGAAGCCATTGAGGGCAATCATGAATGTCAGGGACAATGGAGGAGGAAGATGGGACATGGCAGAGGGTGGGGATGGGGAACCTAGGATGGCAAAACAAAGGGCAAGGTAGAATGTCAGGGACAATGGAGGAGGAAGATGGGACATGGCAGAGGGTGGGGATGGGGAACCTAGGATGGCAAAACAAAAGGCAAGGTATGCAGGACACAAAAATTGGGAAATCATTTGCTGAGAACATATATGTTGATGTGCTTGATTGAGCCAATGCACAGTGTATTTTGGATGGAAAATTCATATGTGTGTTGTGATGAGAAAAGGAAAAATTTATAATAATAAAAAAAAAAAAAAAAAAAAAGAATAAAATGGAGCCCAAGATGCTTAAATAAAAGGAAATCCAGTGGGGTGAACACATCGAAGTCAGAAGACCTGAATTAATATGAGATGTTGGGCCAGACATGCAACTTCCCAGCGCCCTGTTTCTTATTTGTAAACAGAGCTCTTCCTGCCCCTCCTTTCCCTGCCGGTGCTGCTCTGAAGCTCACAGGGATGGGAAATGCGCTTAAAACCGTGAAGGGCTGTATAAGGACTAAGTAGTGTTGGTCCTCTGTTTAATCCTAAGTGATTGATCTCTCCTCCACCTCGTCTCACTGCAGCTATTCTCAACTCCCCTAAGAAACAGAAGATCTCAGTAGTAAGATAGTGCTAGGACTTGGAATAGCCTATTTCTTGGTACTTGAGCAAAGAGCTTCTTGCTGGCGTGTTGGGGCCCCTCTTCCAGGTTGGAAGCAGGGTGAGTTCCTGCAGGTGTTTCCTTCATGTCTGAGGCCTGGACGTCAGCTCTGTGAGTGACATCGCAGGGTCTGCTGATGCCTGGGACCTGGCGACAAGGAAAGGACAGATGCACACCAGATCTGTTGAGTAGGCCGTGTGCTGTGGGTTCCACACCAGCTGGGGTGGCTTTCTCCCAGGGTGCTCATGTGGAGTCCAGAAGGCAGACTCTGGATGCCAGTTGGTTTTGGCATTCACTGATCCATGGGGAGCAATAGCTCACATACTTGGCTTCTACCAAGAGAGCCTGGTCAAGGTGACTGGCGAGTCTGGTAGTCCTGAGAGTCCACAGCGTGCTGTGACAGAGCAGGGGCCATATCCTATGTGATTTAAGTGTCACGGAGAGGAATTTTCAGCGTTGGGTGAGTCAGCCCAGGAAGATCGGGGGTAAGTCTGGGATACCTGTACAATGGCAGGTTCAGGGATGAGCCCTGGTAAAATCATCAGAGCCTGGGGCCAGCAGGTGGCATAGTGGTTAAGGTGCTGGACTCCCATGTGGCTAACCATCGTTCAAGTCCCAGATCTTGGACTTGTGCTTGAGAGGAGAAGGGGTTATGGTGTGGCCATGCCCCTAGGGGGTGATTTCTCATTTCCCCTTTCTGTCTCTCTGGAGAGTGCATGCGCCCTATGGCAAAAATCCTAAGGAAAAAAATCAGAGCCTTCTTTTTCATTTTTAGGGTGTGCAGGAACTGTTCTCTCTCTGAGGGTGACGGTTTTAGCCCGCCATTCCCTACCAGGCACAGGGATTGGTGCAGATGCACACCCTCTCCCAGCAGAGCATGCCCACCTCAGCACGTGTCAAAACAGCGTCAGGATTGCTGTTAGTCCTGACTGTTCTGGCACTTAACTGTGTAGGTCTTCAAGCCCTGTGTGGGGTCTTACCTCACAGATTTCTCATGGTAGACCTTCATTTCTCAACAGTCTACTTAACGCTTTTTACCTTTTCTTCTGTTTTCTGCTGTATAGGAGTCAGAGTCAGAAGCAAAAATAGATGGAGAAACTGCGTCAGACAGTGAGAGCCGAGCTGAACCTGCCCCTCCAACAACCTCCGTAGATGATACCCCAGAGGTCCTCAACAGGGCCCTTTCCAACTTGTCATCAAGGTAACCTGGCTTAATGATGTAGGTACTTGTTGGGGGCCTTGAAGCATTTCCAAATGCCATGGAGGACCCAGAGTCCTCAGAGAGTCCGTGATCTTGCCGGGTGAGCCCATTTCTGTTAAGGTGTGTTGGACAAGCCTGCCCACCTGCCTCAGCCTGTCTTTCCTGTCTCTGTCTAGGGTCAGGGGAGTGTTATCTAGTACTTAGCAGTGATTGCAAGCAAGTGAGTGACCAGGAAGGGAGGGAAACCCTGCAAGGGAGCTCTAGGCTAGGCTGGGGAGTAGTCCACGGAGGAGGAGTATGGACAAAGGGGCTGGGATAGGGCAGATTGATGGACACAGTGTATGTTGGGACATCATCCTTGGATTTGTGACTAACAAACAGGAAGGCTGTTTTTCAAGGAGAAGTCCAAGATTCTAGTTAAAAGTTTAGTTTTTCCTCTCCAACATACATCTATAGTGAGTAATTTCTTAAATTCTCCAAGAAGAATTGGGAAACATCTCAACTTAGGTAAGTCTAGAGCTAAAAGTTTTGGCCCTTGTGAACTTGGTCCTTCTAACATTAGCTATGTGGATAGATGAAAAACATGAATTATAAGACCCCAAAGCATTATCTAAACGTGTTCCCAGGTGTGCCCCCCAGCTGGCTGTTTGAGAAGCTGTGTTGGAGAGCAGTAAAGGGCATGGATTCCAGAGCCAGAGCCCTGGGTCCAAATCTCAGCACCACCACTGGCCAGCTGTACGATCTGTGCTTCTATCTCCTTGTCTGTGAAAGCTAGCTATGTTGATGGTTGAATGAGTTAATATATGCTAAGTCCTTAAGAATGTACCTTGGTACTGTTATTATCATTGCTTACTATTATTATCATAATGATACAGGGCAGTACATGCAGGATTTGGCTGCAGGAAAAATGTTATTTCTTCAGATAGAGGCAGCTGTAGAAACCACCCAAGTAGATATAGTAGCAGAGAACACTACCAATGTCCCTTTCCTTAAGACATATGCTAGATGCATTTTTCTGTAGGCCTCATAGGACTTTACTGAGTTTTTTGTTATAATGAAGCATTGGCTCTAGGGGCCCTGCTTCTGCCAGTTGAGGCCTCTGTCAAGGCAAAGGAGGCACTCCGGAAAAGATCAAGCCCAGGGCCCTCGAATCCCTGGAAGAGCCATTCCCCTTGGGTTTGTGCTTCAGTTCCTTCTAGGCTCCTAACTGGTGTTTTCTCCCTCTCTACTCTCTACTCCAGATGGAAGAACTGGTGGGTGAGAGGCATCCTGACGTTGGCCATGATTGCATTTTTCTTCATCATCATTTACCTGGGACCAATGGTTTTAATGATGATTGTAAGTGTCATTGCATGCCATTTGAGTTTTCCTTTCACTTTTCCAGCAGGACTGGTTTAAGTGCCAGGTGTAGGGTTGTTTCAAGGACCTGTGGGGGGTCCAGGGTCCTCAGAACACTTCTGTCTCCCAGCAGAAGTATTTCTCATCTTTCAGCAGCCAACTAGAGGGTCACTGACAGAGGCCAGCTGTTTGTGTCTAAAGACATTTCTTCATTTTAAAGTTGACTTTGTCATTCCATCTGTTTGATTAGACCATGTCTCTGGCTCTGTCTTTGTGTAACTTTTTTTTTTTTTTTTTTTTTTTTTTTTTTCTTCTGGGGCCCCCCAAAAGAAC